TCCTATATCAGGGGTGAGCTGGCTGACTGCTGCAGGAGAAGTAAATCCACCCGATTTCACTGATAGACCTCCTGCATCTGCTCCAAGCTTCAAGGGAGTTCTGTTGTGCTGAACGAAGATCCAGTACAGTCAGTCCTCCATATCCACAGATTTTTTATCCATAGATTCAAGCATCCATGGTTTGAAAATATTTTTAAAATGTTTAAATTCCAAAGAGCAAATTTTGGAATTTCCACAACTGCCATTTTATATAAGGGGCTCCATTTTAGTATGCCGTTGTAATTAATGGGACTTGAACATCCATGAATTTTGTTATCCATGCGGGGTCCTGGAACCAAACTGCAGTGGATACCAAGGGCCCACTGTATTCACAGAGCTTTTTTTTTTTGTTGCAGCAGGATCAATAATAAAGTCAAGGACCCCCTGCATGAAAAAACTGTTGTTGTGACTCTAGCCCTCCCTCATTCAGGCAAAAAAGTGCCAAGTCCCTCTCTAAGCAGCAACAATTCACCTTGTAAATACATTACGTAGCCTCTGTACATTGCATTAACATTTTTAATTTCCCCCCAAACATCAGAAATAGATTTCTGGATACTTTCATTTTTTTGGGGGGGGGTAGTCTCTGTGACCCCCAGAGGATACCCCAGGCAGAAAAATAACACACACAAGCTCTCTGCAGTTGCCCAACCCTCCTCTATGTAGAATCCTAGAGTTGGAAGAGACCCCAAGGGACATCCAGTCCAACCCCCTGCCATGCAAGAATACATAATCAAAGCTCCTGACAGATGGTGATCCAGCTTCTCTTTAAAACCCTCCAAAGAAGGTAGACCCCACCACTTTTTGAGGGAGTGTGTTCTACTGTCAAACAGCTCTTACTGTTAGGAAGGTCTTTCTAATGTTTAGGTGGAATCTCTTTTTTTCTTGTAGTTTGAATCCATTGCCTCATGTTGCAGGGGCTGAACAGAGAGGAAAACAGGAAAACTGGGCTGATACCAGTTTTTACAAAAGCGGGTGGAAGCCCCGCTGTCCACACGGCCAGCTCCAAAGGTGGGCTGAACACCTGCACCACATGGCATCAAGCCACACTATTTGGCTATTTTTTGGTTGCCTCCCCACTATGCATGTACACCATCGCATGAACACACCGCCTGTGACCACTAATTACCCCTCTCCACTTGCCCAGCTGCCATCCCATTGGACACAATGTGCGACCAACCAATAGCAATTGCAACAGCAGCTTCTTTTATATACTGCTTCACGCTATGCAGTCTCTAAGCGGTTTACAACTGTAAGCTAAATGCCCCCAACAAGCTGGGTACTCATTTTAGCGACCTTGGAAGGATGCAAGCCTGAGTCAAGCCTGAGCCCTGGCTGGTATTGAACTCACAACCTTGTGATAGAATTCAAAGATATAGCCATGTTAGTCTGTATAATTAGTATTAATTGTAGATAGATTCTGCAGTACCTTTAAGACTAACTGGGGAAAAAAAATTAAGAAGTTGTCAGCATGAGCTTTCATAGACTTCAGTCTATTTCTTCAGATGCTTCAGATTCTCCACCACATGCATCTGAAAAAGTAGACTGAAGTCTATGAAAGCTCATGCTGATAATTTCTTAATTTTTCCCCCAGTTAGTCTTAAAGTTGCTGCAGAATCTATCTACAATTAATACTCACAACCTTGTGGTTTGTGAGTAA